GCAGGAATTCATCACTTGTTTACACAGTCAGTTACAATAGAGCAAAAGAGGGATCTATCAGACTTACTATACCAATTACTAAAGATACACTATTTTCAACCTGGTCTTCTTTTTACAAACAGCCACTTTTCCAACACATAGAATGTCATAAAGCTCCTTTGTTTAAAAGAAAACACTCCATCTTTGATTAACTGCTGCCTCCGGCACTGGGAGGAGGCACTTCTTTTCTTTTTCTATGCACTGTTTCTTCAGCATCTATGAACCATCTTCCCCCTTCTCTCTGCCACTAGCTAATATGCATTGCTGTCTCTGTAGCTGTAATACACTATTACAAAAAACTGACAAGGGACTTGCTTTGAAAAAAACTAAAAGAAAACACTCCATCTTTGATTAACTGCTGCTTTGATTAATTTGGACTACTACTGTGCTTCATCTTTAAATTGCAGTATTTTGGTTAGCAGAGGGAGAATGTACCTTGGCTTCTATAACAATATTCAACATGCCACAAATTACTAACATCAAATACAAACACTTTTTTTCCTTTCCTATTATAGCTTGAAGCAGGTCTTAAAAAGATTTATTTTCTAAAATGCCATCTCAGTATCACTAGAAATAGTTCTGCTTTTCATTCCTAGATGGAATACCTTGCTGATGATTTTTGTTTACTGTAAAACTAAACATCAAACTTTAACATCACTATCATTATAAAAGCTTTCAAATGGCAGTTTACCTACCTCAATAAAACTCTATGGCCTCTAAGGAAGAAGGAATGCATGTGGACAGTCATGTTCACTTCAAGCTTGCAACCTAACAGCTTCAGAAATACACCACCTGTAACTCTAAGATTAGAATAAGGACCCAAATCTCATCTTTAAATTATTATTATTATCTGCCTCCTCTCCTCAAGCTTCTTTTCCCTCAAATCAATGAGGAAAGATACTTAGCTACACTGAGAAGCGTAGAATTTAAGACCATTTACATAAAGCTAAATAATATTTAGTATGTGTTTCTGCCTTTACTTAAAAGGATACTGTTAGTTGGCTTTCAATGAGCTTTGGCTCCGTCACGCACCCCCAGTCCCCCTCAAACCAATTTATTACCTTCTGTTCCAATGCAAGCCGGTACTTCTGCTCTACCCTTTTGCATTTGTTGTACCAACTGTTTTCATCTGTGATGAAAGGAGGACCAATATTCTCTGGAGTGCTGCCTTCACTGCCACTACTGCCCAGCGTTCTTAGCTCTTCTTCATCACTGCTGATACTGTCAGAACTGAAGGATGAAGCCAAGTGAAAAGCTGTGTTTATTAAAATGCAATTTCCCCTTGAAATTAAAGAACCACAGTTTTAAAGATATCTTAAGCTCTGTAAAACAAGAATAACTGAAATGTTACAATAGGATAGATCACCAAACAACTTCTATTTCAAGTTTTTACTTCAAGCCACCTAAAGAGTAGATAAAAATTTGCTTGTGATATTAGTAAAATAGTCTTCGGCAAGTCAGACAACTGCATGTGGGACACTCTCCTGGAATACAAAGGCCAATGCATTACAATGCTATCTAAAGAAGTGGTGACTTAATCTTTCCTTCACAAATTTAAGGCAATGAGTAGTATCTGAAAAGAAATTGTATTTTTTTCTAAAAACATAGAAAAATAAAAAAGTTCTGTAATTATGTTAAATTACAAAAAATTTAAATGAGAATGTATAGTTAAATTTATAGCTAAGACAATATCTGTTATTTCACAGAACATAAGAATGTCCCTACATAGTATACAGATTCATTGTTAATGTATCTCCATATCATCCAGAATTAGTGAATGCCAGAGAATGCAGACATCTATCTCAAACACAAGAATTTTAATTTAACCAAATAACCATTTGAAATCTTCCCTTACAACTATGCTTTTCACTACACTAATAGCATTTACTAATTTTTTAAGTAGTGATTCCTGCAACCCCATGATCCTGCTGTGATGCAAGTTCTGCTTTAACTGGACCATGCAATTTGTCATTAACTTGTAAGCTAATAAGAACTTCAAGGGAATAACTAGGATGTTTTGTGTTCACTTGTACATCTTTAACACTAATCCTAACTCCCCACTGCTTTCTTCATTTTGGCAAACCTAAAAATAGAATACATCCCATTAATTTCAATGCTTTTTGGACATGGCAAATCTGATCTGTTAGATAGTGATCATTCTTTTTATTATTAATGATATGATCAGAGGAGCAAAATGTAACCAGGAAGTCAGATTGTATATGCAACTGGTTTTCTATTATGTGCTAACTGCTCATACGGCAAACTGCTTATCTGTCACATCTGACCACTTACCAGGGCATATAAAATTTTTATTGACAAAATAACTAAAGTTTATGGCTACACAGAAAAGGCCCAAGAGAAAGGACAACCTGGTTTGGTGAACTTACAAGGAAAAAAATTGTTTCCTCCTGAACTGTGATTCTAATCCACATAAACAAAGTTAGTGTGACTCACTCTGATGAGTCATGTAATAATTCCACCAGTCTGAAAGAGCAAGGTAGCTGAGTGTAGAGGTTTGTATTTAGATATGGATATAATTTTGAATGTGAATTAAAAACTAAGATGCCCAGTATGAAGTAAAATTTTGGCAATGAAAAAAAAATGTAAAAAGCAGTGTAAAGCTAAAAATTACCTCGGGATGAACTTCAAGTATGGTGTATAATCTATGACAGCTGGATAGCTGCCATCCAATCTCTCACCCTTCAGACAAAAACTGATAAAACAGAGAAACAATTATAAGTGTATAACAAAAAAGTTAAATGACAGTGACAGTTGGATCCTACCATTGTGTAATTTTATTTTTCTTATTTTTTTTTAATAAGAAAGGTCTACAGTATTTAATACTGAAATCCTACTCAAGAGAGCTAAACTGTTTATATTATGAAATGAGAGTCACTTTAAATTATAGCATAATATAATAAAAACTCCAACAAACAGAAATTCCACGCCATCAGCAAACAGATCGGGGCAAGTGGTATAAAGCCTAATTTTTAAATATTTGTTTTTATTCTGAAAATAAAGATGGATTGCAAGGGAGTAACAGGAAAAAGAAAGTTAGTTGAAGCAAGAGAAACAGCAGAACTATGGGTTAGCTTGGAATCTTTAGTAATTAAGCCCATTTAAAGTGTTTGCAGAGTGCTTATGTAACCATCCTACTAACTTTAAGTAAAAAATCAGTTCTCAAATATTTCAGTCTCTTCTTTCAGATACCTTCTGGTGTTGGGCTGCAGGAAGATGAGTAACACCAATGAAACGAACTTTCAGAAAATGCTCTTGGCTGTAGCTTTATAAAGCTCTCATCTACAGTCTATTCTTTCTGTACTGGATAAAAATGATTGTATTTGAATCATGTTTAATTGTCACAGAACTGACAAAATTAATTATGATTCCACAAGGCTCATATTCCTCACTCCTATGTCTGTCACAGAAAAACAGATCCTAGTGAGACACAGCTTTTGCTAACTTAATTGCAGTGGGCCATTTTGGACGACGCAGTCACATAAGCAGTATTTGGGAAGTACATCTGAAAGGTGGTTTTCTTCCCCCTAACAAAAGAAAAGCAAAGAAAATAGCAAAAAAACACCCCTGCAAAACCACAATTACTTTAAGTAGAGACATAATTCCACATTGTTGTAAGGGAGGGTGTGGAAATTTAGATTCTGTTCTCACCTGAGTTCCCCCATCTCCACCCCAAAGTCTTACTTACAATTCCACATAGATAAGCCAATCGACATTTATAAAAGATTGTTTGAACAGAAAAAAATCTCAAATACTGTGTGCAAAGAATGGCTTCAGCTTCTCAGCTATTCAAACCACAATACTATGAATTATATGGGGTACAATAAAAATGCACCTGTAGCGCTATGTTCCTATTTTTGCCCAGACAATTTTAGGCTCTTAAATGCCATACTGGCAAACAACTTGTATGTCTCCAACAAGAGCCAATAATTACTAAGCTCTCATACCAGTACCATGTATCACTTAGGCTTGTGCAGGGCAAACACAGTCAATTGATTGTTATTTATGGGAGAACTGACATACTGCAGACCTACTTGTGCTATCCTTCTTATTCACATATAGCTATTGTCCTAAATATAGTGCTAACACAGAAGCAGCTTAACTTCATATAGAGTAAAGCTCAAACTAACAATATCTGGTAAGATTTAAATTTGCTGTACACAAGGCTAGCTCTCATCTGCCTGTGCAGTAAGAACAGCTTTCTATGATTCTATTAACGTGGCTGCAGGGTAGATATTAAGAGTGTACTCCCAGGAGACTGGGGAAAAGCATTATCACTCCCCAGTGAAATCCCTCCTCAGAGGCTCTGTATGAGATGAAGTAGGCCCAACTAGGCATATGAACAGGGCCTCGCACCAGCCAGGTTTGATCTTTTCATAGGCACGCCAGTTTTTATACCTTGCTGACTTATTTATTTATACCAAGATGCTTTTTCCATTATCTAGGGTGTGTTTGCATCTTCATTACCTGAAAACAGGTCATTAATCATGTGACAAAACACAAAAAAGTCTACCTAGAGACTGCAAAGCTAAATTAATGTAGCTTGATAATACTTCACAGTTCAGCTGCAGTTAATTATAACACAAATTAATATTAAATGGTCATTTGTAGGTTAAACTTTAAAAATTAAAAGTGCTAAAGTTAAAGTTACCTACACCTTGTACATACGGAGTTACAATGCTGTCATCAAGGACCAGGGCACAACCATGTACTTAATCACGTTTTTCCCTATAATTTAAAAGTAACTTTAAAAGATTCGATTGTCTGCAAGTTTCACTTAATTGGTTTGATAAACCTTCTGAATTATACTTGAAATTGCTTTCAGCATTTTGATACCTGAAAGACCAGGTAATCATGCAGCTATACAAACTACGGCATAATTCTGTTCTTGTCTAGATAAGCCACTCAAGATCTCTCTCTGTCCCATCCCCTCCTTTTCTCCCACTTAGGTTTTGTCTCTCAAACTATCAAGAGAAACTAACAATGTTTTTCATAATGCATCGATTTATAAATACTTTCTTTGAGCATTTTGTCATGAAGCATGCAAATACCTGAAATCAATTGCATTGAGTCCCAACAGCATACCAGCAAGCATATTTGCTTCTTCACCAAGAACAACTGCTCCATCTTCATAAAATCTCCTTCAACAAAAATAAATTAGTTAATACAATTTTCTCACAACTAACAATGTTTTTCATAGTTACCAGAAAAGTGAAGAAATCCAATTTAATTAAAATCAAATCATGTGAACCCCAAGGGCATCCATATTTCATTTCAAATAAAGCAAACAAGTGGACAGCACAGCACAAAACACCACAATCTTAAAGCACATAAAAATTTAGACATAAGCAAAAATAACCTACAGCATTAGCCCTAAGAAATAGTAGAACAGGATGGACAAAATGCAAAGAAAATGATGAAGATATCTTATGCTTTACTGCTGAAAGGAAGAATTTGTGTCATGTACATTAAAAAAGTAGTTATTCCATCATGCGAAAAAAAGTCCTCTCTTACAATTGTACTTGCAGGCTCTACTAAAAGTTCAACATTCACTCTTCAGTCTTAGTATTTGATGATTTTTTAAGAATTTTTTTCACAAATCAGCTATTTTGCAGGTAGCATACTTTTTCTTAAAATACTATATGCTGGGAAGAAGCATGGTGCATTCTGTTATTCTGAGATTTAATATTTTCATTATTTGAAGCAGAGGTGTTTTCTTAACATCATTTTTCCTTGTAAAACACCTACTGGCCAAAGTTTTCAAACTCCATAGCCTGATCTCAAAATCAATTTCAAATACCTCTGGTATATGTAGACTTGTGAAGGCTGCTTAAGGATAGCGACCAAAAAAAGCAATTTTTAAATATGTTCCCTCACCAACTTCCCATTCTCTCCCATTTATTCTCATTTTCTCCTCCCAGCTACCAGAGAAGCAACTCCAGATAGAAACATGCCATCAACAGGGCAGGAGAAGAGGACCCACCATTGCCATGCATGCCCTTGTAAAAAAGGCATTTGGTCTGTGTAGCAAAGTAGCTCACACCTTAAAATTTTGTGTTAAAGGAGCCTTGGTGCCAGTAGCAGAGCCAGAAAGATTACTGAAATTCGCTTGAGCTTTACATGTGGAAAGAAGGAAACCAAGAACTGTTCAGCATCAAAGGCAAGGTTGAGAGATCACTTAGCAGAAACACAGATGTACAAGACCACCTATATACTCTAGCAATGTACGATTGTACGAAGGTGCCAGACTATGCAACTTATGTTTCAGACACCAGCAAGACTGCCCTACTGAAAGCTCCGTTTGTTGTAAGAACTGCATGAAAGCACTGGGATGGCTCAGTGAGAGCTCGAGTTGGCTGCATGAGAAACATCCAGAAAAGACACATTTTGGGGCACAGTTCCAAAGATTGAACTGTGTGATAAATGCACAGTGTAAGAAGTCCCACTTTGGCATTTTCATAACAGACTTCCAATTGCTGTAAGGGAACAAGTTGTCCAAGATGTTGGGTGTTCTCAGTGGAAGTAAGAAATCTGGAAGACTTCCTCTGGGAAGACAAGACTCTGCTCTCTAGCCTCTGACTCCAGGAAGGGCACCAGGAGGCTAAACTGGCCCCTACTTGAGATAGAATACTGAGAAATGTAATACTGAGCAAGAAGAACTTTACTTTCTGATTCCATACAGTTATTCTTATTTAGGAGCTAACAGCAATCCTCCCCATAGAAGATGATTACAAACCATTTCACTGGCATTTGTAAAATCACTGCCAGGTACCAATCTGTACTGTGTTCAGTTTATGTTGAAAAATGGTGTCTAGGAAGTAATCATACAAGAAAGACAGGACATACTGGTAAGAGGCAGACATTAGTCTGAAAATGGCAATGTTTCTTAAACCAGCCACAGTAATACACAAAAAAAAATAATTGCCTTGGAAAACTCCAAAATCATCTTTCAGTGTTATGCAGTTGACATCTCACAACAGAACAGTCTACCTTAAGAGTCTGTACTAACCAATTTGTTAGAAAAATAATTGTGTGCCCCTGCTTAATCCAACCCCCTTCCAAGTGTAATTTGCAGATGCAGAACAAGTAGTGTGGAGTTTCATTAGAAGACTAGCCCTAAAAGCAGGCACCTAAACAAAATATCAATGTTTAAAAAGAACTGTGTGATATATGAATCTCTTACTCTACATACACATGTATAACATGATATCTGTACTTTATCTAAATAATTGTTAATGTATAGAGAGCACAATACATAAATATAAATGCTAAATAAAGGGTGCACAGCATCACTAAAAAAATCAGGACACTTATAAGATATGCAGATTCCCACACAGGAAAAGAAAGCATGTTGATTATTACTAGCGGTTTTGAAATCCATACTATCAAGGTCTGAAACTGTAACTTTTATTTCCATCAGATGTATTTAAAATAATTGTTGTTTCCAATAGCTGTAACACTGAAAGAACATTCAAATACATTGAACATTAACATATTCAAATACATGAATTTGAAACTGCTATGAAAATAATACCACTGTTATTCACTAGCAAATAAATTGTACTACCAACCAGGGACAAAGAATGTACTACTTAACTACACAGTTTGTGACCCTCTTCCTCCTAATCTCCTCCTCAAAAACCCAAGTGACCTTTCAGTTTGGGGCAACATGAGTAAATCTTTTCCAGAAATCCATATTTTTCATATTACATCAAGAATCCTAGCTATGCCAAACCACTCATTATTTTCTTCTGTGTTTCTCAAAAGTTTCTTGGAATTTTCTTCTTTTCTTCTTCAAGGAGATTTCCTATATTTTTTTTTTCCTAGGTCTCTAGGGCTTTCTGCCAACCATACACAACATTGAAATAAACGTAACATCTTCTGTAATGGAGCTGTTGGAGTGAGTCCAGAGAAGGGTCATGAAGATGATCAGAGAGCTGGAGCACCTCTCCTATGAAGACAGACTGAGAGAACTGGGGCTGTTCAGCCTGAAGAGGGAAGAGACTTCATAGCCGCCTTCCAGTACCTAAAGGAGCCTATAGGAAAGCTGGGGAGGGACTTTTTACAAGGGTGTGTAGTAATAGGATGAGGAGGAATGGCTTTATAGACTGGAATAAGGTATGAGGGTGGCACAGGTTGCCCAGGGAAGTTATGGATTCCCACTCCTTGTAAGTGTTCAAGGCCAGACTGGACAAGATGTTGAGTGACCTGATCTAGTGAGAAGTGTCCCTGCCAATGCAGGGAGGTTGGGATTAGATGATCATTAAGGTCCCTTTTAACCCAAATAATTATGCTACAATTTCAGAATTAGTTCTCTTCTTTAGAGAGCTTTTATTCTCTTTTGACCTTTCAAGAATTCTAGACTAGCTTCCACTAAGGTTTTTTTCAGTTTTGCCCATGCTAAAATCCAATGAAATAATACCAACTCCAGATATCTTTTACTGGGTTATAGCTGTTTATTAGTGACAATATTTCCTATACAAATCAAGTGGAACGTTCACTTTCCAACCTAGGCCTCTCACCTAAGCAACATTTGCTAAAACACTGCAAAATAAAAGTCTTAGAGACCTGGTTGTTTTGAAGTCTCTCAGAGCTGTGGAAATATATTCAGATAAATGCTTTTCCATAAGTGCTACTCTGATCCAGGCTCGACCCTGCAAGAAACAGATATCAAATATTTAAGTATTACAGAATGAAACAATTTTACATCTGAAAATGAATATAGTTTGTTTACCTGGGGGAAACAAACTGATTAACAAAATTACTACTAAACAGAAATTTTCGCTAAGATGTACTTCATTACAGTAAAAATGAAAATTAAAAATTGATTCTTAGAAATAAACTTTATTATAAACTAAATTTCTCCAAAATTTGAAGGGGAAAAACAAAACAAAAAAACACACAAAAAAGGATTTTGCTTTAATTTTATACTCCAGCCATTTGAAAATCTCATGTGTTTAAGTGGTAGCAGATAATGGCAGAATGCTTTTCCTTTTAAAGACAATGGTATTGGAAGCACCCAATCAGTTCCACTGTAAAGCGGCAGTAATGCGCCCTCAGGATGATTTAATTAAGAATGAACACTCTTCATTAACTCAAGTATTTCTGGGATCAATTAAAAAAACTGTAACTCGGTGACATATTTTTAATATAATTTGCATAAATTAGTTTTCCTCTCAGTAAGGACATCATCTAGAATGTGCACATAATATACAGGAATGAAATCCTGTATATTTAGGCTTCAACTCTAAGAAGCCTAAAACTTGTAGTCCAAAAGCAAAACTTCATTCAAACAGTTCTATAAGCAACAGCAAGAGTTTAAAAAATAACCTTTAGGAACATATGTTGCACTGTGTTTACACATCTAGTGCACAGGATTATAGTTTACAAGAGTGAGAAATTTCAAATATCTGCCATATTTACGACTGTCAGTTTGAGAACAGGGGTGTTTCTTGTAACCCACATAAACTGGCAAATAGCTATATTAATGTCTTTTTGCTTAGTAAATCTTTATTAGCAGATAAAACTGTTAAAAGTTTCCTGCACCATCACACCAATAAACTCAAGGACTAATCACACCTTTTGCATTATTGCATAAATTATATACAAAATAAAATTATACCTAGATTGGGGGGAAAAAAAATATCAAATTTCCACAATTTAAAAAAATTGTTAGGCATGCCTACATGAACTTAACTTTCCTCAACAAAAAATTACCTAAGTTTGAAAACATGAATGCAATCATTTTATGATACAACATGCTCACTGAATAGAGAATGAGATTTATTCTGCTGAATAACATAATTTGAAAGGAAAAACATTAAGATTTTAAAGGGTTTTTTAAAGTAAATATTTATTAGGTACATATAAGAAATAATTATTTCAAACAATGAAAAATGTTGTGGGGCAAACTTAGTTAATATGGCTTTCACCCAGGTACAGAAACGTCAGCTGTATTTTACACAGAACAATGCAATAAAAAGTACATTTGATCTTTCTTTTCCCTACCTTAGCTCTAGAAGAAGCGACGTTCTCCATGTTCTCAATACTGCAGATGCAATTGTGAGAGACTTTTCGGCAAGCTACTCGAATGTAGTCCCAGAAACTACGAGGGCTTTCATAGCCAAACCAGGTAACCTGACCTTTAATTAAGATACAAGATATATCAAGATTTATGAACCTCCCTCTCTGCTTATTTGAAATGAACATAATTAAAATACTTCCCTATAGGTTGGCTAAACTGACAGGATTTTATACTAGCAAGCCCAAAAATTCCTACTGAATACTGGCTCACAGGTGTGAAAAAAATTGTATTCTGCACCTCATCCCGATTTGAAACTGCTGCACAAAGAACAGTTCGGGGCTTTTCTGTATATATCTGTGTTTTGTTAGTTTTTTCCTTGTTAGTGCGCTATAGTGATGCTCAAGAGTTCTTCGTGGGATTTTAAAAATCACACACTGTTGGCTTAAAAATACAATGCAAAAAGTATTTCTGTTATTTGATATAGGTAGTACCACACATTTCACTAATACAGTCAAGTAAAAAGACTTCTGTTCTTAAAAAAATTATATATACATATATATACATACAGATACACATATACATGTATCTATATAAAACAGTGTTTGCTGTGGTTAACTCTATTTAGGAGCAGACTGAAGCTTTCCAAAATGTGCTTTCATTGAAGGAGACATCAGTGCACGATCAAGAAAGTTTTGAAGTCACAATTTATTTTGAGTACACACAACATTCCTTGGGAAGTTGACCAAAATGAATTGAGCAACTCAGCATCTTTTCTGGAGCTTTAACCAAGACTCTTTGTACTTTTTTCCAGCTTGGAATGTATTGCAGTTAGAAAACAAAAGGCAAATTTACATATGACTTACAACCACTCCACACAAAATGAATTTAATCACAGATGCAACATTTCAGCCCCATTTTCAGACTAAACCACAATACAACAGCAAACAGGTATGCAAAAAGTATGATGAATATTGCCCTCTGCTGACAGCCATTATCATATATGTTCAAAACCTTTTCTTCATATACAACAAGATCTTATTGTTAAGCTAATTTTATTTCAAGCCTTGAGTTGTAATTCTGAAGCGTTACTAATTTATCAGAGAGACTTCTAATTCTTTTGCGGTTAGAAAGTTCAGATTTCAAGAAAGAACATATTATATTGACACTGCAAATCACACATACTGAAAATGCCAAGAGATGATGACAAGGATATTCTTATTTAGCATGACTTATCTTAGCTTCAAGCATAGCTGGAGTAGTGTCAAGGATCTGTCTCCTATGATCTTAAAAAAAAATTCAAGTGGTGGGTTTTTTTCTCTCAGAGGGTGCATGTAACTTGACTTTGTGACCCATCTGCTTACTTCACCACATGGATTTATTAAATTCAAAGTTAGATAAGAGAAAAAAATTGAAAATGCAGGAAAAATGAATATATGCTACTCAATATGGCAAAGGAAAAACAAAATCCCAAGGTGTTTCAGCCACTGTAGATTCAGATCATCTCAGCTCAAGGACTGAAATAAAATGAGGTAAGAACTCTTACAAATTTCATTTTTTTTGTTGAAATGCCAAGCATAGCAGACATCAACAAGAATTCAATGGCATTTTAACATTAAAAGTTTCAGATATTTTTCATATTCTTTACCATTTCTGAAATATTTCTGCCCTGGAGATTATACCTGCAAAATTAAATGCAACTGAAGTGTGAAAATGACTTTGTGTCAAAAATTCCAGTGCCAACTAATAAAGCCAAGTATATCACTCAATAAGATTTTCATCTTTTTCAAACTATCTTAAGAAAAGAATGCATTCTTCAAAAACCAGACAGTTTCACTCTTACAGTTTTCTGAAGTCACTAATACAAAGCAATTCCCTTCACCAGTGAACATCTGAAGAACACATGTAATTTAGAAACAAAAATAACTTTACAGCACAAATACATTCAAGTACACAGCACTCAAAATTTGACTCACACTGATAAACAAAGCAAGCTGTCCATAATTACCATACACTCTTGACATAACACTGGGGTCTCATCTCACAGCCAGCTCTGCAAGAGGGTATGATGGGTTTCAGACCAAGATATGTGTAGATGTGTCTCTCCAGGACATGCTCTAGTGGTCATGGTGTTTTTTTCTGGGTTGACGGTTGGACTCTGTGATCTTAGTGCCACATCTACACATTTCTTGCGTATTTCCAGGGATAGTGACTCCACCACCTCCCTGGGCAGCCCATTTCAGTGTCTAACTACTCTTTCAGCAAATAAATTCTTCCAACTATCTAGTCTAAACCTCCCTTGGTGTACCTTCAGGCCGTTTCCTCTGGTCCTGTGATTATTCACTTGTGAGAAGACACCAACACCCACTTCCTTACAACCTCTTCTCAGGTAGTTGTAGGGAGGAATGAGGTCCCCCTTCAGCCTCCTCTTCTCCAAACTAAACAATCCCAGTTCCCTCAGCCTCTATTTGCAGGACTTGTTGTCTAGACCCTCCACCAGCCTGGTTGCTCTTCTCTAAACTCAGTCCAACAACTCAATGTCTATCTTGCAGTGAGGGGCCCAGAACTGAACACAGTACTCGAGGTGCAGTCTCACCAGTGCTGAGTGCAGAGGCATAATCACTTCCCTACTCTTGCTTGTCACACTAAATACTATTGCTTTTGTCAGCCAAATAAAATTACTACATAAGCATGTAAGCTCCATGCTTAATATTAAAAATTACTGTCCACAGAACTTCAAAGTACATAGAAACAATATTGTGAAAAATTCACTTTTTTGAATACTGCTACACACTTATTTGTATCAACACGATTTTGCTTGAGTCTGACAACTAGATACAAACACTAGTTATTTCAGATCTTTTTCCACACTTCAGAAATTATTCACAAGTAAGACATTAAACACTTTGGTTCCTACTCAATTACAGTCCAATTAATATCTACAAAGTTCAATAGTTGCAAAGTAATAACAACTGGGATGCTCTAAGGTACAGGCAGGTTTTCTACAGACTTCTCTGAATTATTTAGTTTGCAGCAAAGTTTTTTATCCTGCAAAAAAAGAATTTTTAATACAGCTTGTTGGTCATAAACTAGCATGCTAGTCCTTTGAGGAATTTCTGTGATACTTACTTTTTCATTTTGGACCTACAGAATAGGTCATTAAAAATTAAAAATCTGTACTAGTTCATAAACCAAATCCTCCAAGGCAATTATAAATTCAGTTAAGATTTTTCTCCATAATAGAGAAAGGACAATGAGTTAAAACCAAAAATTACACCAGAGTTCTACTATTTCTTTTTAGCCAAAATAGTAATAGGGTTACTAAGTGTGTATAAATATGAAATCTAGTAACAAAAGCTATTCTGCTAACAGCATTATTGCACCAAATAAATGGCCACTGCAACTACATGCTTAGACAGATTCCTGATGATGCATGGCATTAGAACATTTTATATAATGAGGAAAGGAAGAGAATTATTATGTTTATCTTCTCACTCTAGCAGCACTGATCATCCTAGAAGCTTACTGCTCGCAGTAGGCTTTCTAAAAGAAAAAAGCAAGCAAGCAAACTCCACAGTTACTAAAATCAGGAATAACACAGATCAGAGAGAGACAAGCAGCTTCCATGGGCAACTCTAGCAGAAGTTTTTGAAGTGTTTATAATACTTTCTAAATGTACATAGAGTAAAAAAGGCACACCAAGTTATGAGAGTGTCAGAATAGAACAGTACAGCACACTGTTGTGTGTCATTGTGGTGATAAATGCAAGTAAGTGCATAGATGACATAGACTGACAGCACCTATGACATGCAAAAATCACAGAAATCACAAGATGCACTATATACATTGACAGTGATAGAACTTAATTTATACACTATAACTCAGGAAAAGCATCTCTGCAGTTGAAGCATTTTTCCCCTTAAAATGGATATTCTTCCTCTCATTTTGTTTTGCCTGGATCCTATCTGAACACAAAACCAATAAGCAGCAACAGTCACTATATTCCACCAAAACAATGCTTTGCTCCTTAGAAACATTGTATTTAGTGCCAGAAGACCATTCCCAGAAAAAGTATACTAATTAAACAGCCCTAATGCAAATTAAATACTTAAAAAATTCTTCCTTCCGCACCCTGAACTTCCAAAGGAAGTTAAAGATTAAAAATTGTTATTTGCCATGGTATTAAGAAAGTAAAGGTCTATGTACTCAGACTCTCAAATCCGGATCATCCCTTTAACTACACTGCCCTGGGATTATCCTGACAACTTTAATACAATGAAGCCATTTATCTCACCATAGTCAAACTGATCATGATGTTCTGCTGCTTTAAAACACTGTATACAACACACTGCAATCACCAGTCTGCTTTTAGTGTGCTCCCACTGACATGAAATATGCATTCTGAATACACTAGTCACTTCAATCAATAAAATGCAATTTCTGTCAAGCCCTGAGTTGTGTAATATATACCATCTTAAAATTTGAATTGTCAAGGTACATTTTTAATCTCAATTTCCCTTTCAAGTTTTTAAAGAATAAAACAATTACTTGCAGTGATCTAGCTTATTACCAAAATATTCTCCAATTGCAGTATGATGCAAAAGATGCTGTCCTTTTCCATATTTTTATTTAACTCTGCCAACTTAGAAAATCATACCGGTAATTACAAGACTGAAACAACTATTTAGCTTTTTTATTTTCTCTATTTCTTATTTAAATAATTCTTTACTTACAAATTATATTTGCCTGTAACTCATTTGCCAACCTGTCAAGGCTTCTGTTCTGTACTGCCTGTCCTGAATAGACTGTAAAGTAAAAGAACATTTTTTGGGGGGTAGGGAGAATAGAGCTCATAATAGTTTTTGCTCAAACATCACTAAAGCTGGGGGAGAAGAAAACAGAGCACTTTCCCTGCAGTGTCAAGTTGCTAAGTACCCATAATCACTCCAATAATCTTTGTCACAATGTGACAAACTCTATGTTCCTACCCTACTGTGTGATTTATTTTTTTTTCCTTCTCTGACAAGGGCAGCAGGTAGTAATTGTGCTACTCAAATGTCAGCCTATCCACAATACTGTTCACAGAGCTTACTTATGAATATTAAAAAGCAAAGGTACAAAAAGGAGTAGATTGCAATATTACACATCTATACTTAGATTATTACTATGTCCTTCATAATTCTCAAATAATTTCAAAAACTGTACACAGAACTGAGAAATAAGGAGAAGCTTTGAAAGTCCTTTTCTAGTGACTGTTACTGCTAAGGCACGCTCTGTTCTTTTAGCAAAGCTGCTTCCTCTAGAACAATCAGAAAAAGCAAACAGATATTTTCTGAAATTAGAACAACATCTGACTCTGATATAAGAGGAAAATCAACAACTGATCTTTCTCAAAAGTAATTTAATCCAGAGCCATATAACATTCCAGTAGCAAAAACTACCTTCTCTAGGAAGGCTGAGGGACAGGAATGAAAAAGACCTAAACACACTATCTGGAAAAGAGGCAACAACAGCAGGAAAGGGAGAAAGAAATGGGAGCAGCACCACAGATCTGCTTTCTGTAGCTTCTGTTAAATCAGAAAAGACTACAATCGTCTTTCATAAACAGACTTTTAGGACACAGTCTTACCATAAAACAGAACAGCAGACAGAGCTCAGCACCATGGCAACATCCACTTGCTTAATTACCAGCTGAGAAGGCTTCCAACAAGAACCCTGGAAATACCTTTCACAAAAAACACTTGACTTTTCCACAGCAATGCAAACCATCAAAAGGACAGACACACAACGTACTTCCATTCACCACCAAGGAGTTTCTACAGATGTACATCAGTTTCATATAAGCAAATTCTGATGTCAAAACCATCACCAATAAGGAAGTTAATTAACATACCTTTCAGTCGATGACTTAGAATCTGTTCCAGAATGGCTGCAAAATTATTAAATTCAGGGGAATTATCATCTACAGTCTCAAAACAGGAACGGTCAATCAGAGTCTTGACTGAAAACCTAGAACAAGAGTACAATACAATTAAATGGATAGCTACTGGTCCTCTATAGTAGGACAGTAGTTTGCATAAACCAAATGAGCAAAGACCCAGAAAACCACCTTGATGATTTCAAGTTCAGAGAAACGCAAACACATACCACATCAAGAAATAGCCTGGAAATACAATTAGCATTGTTGCTCTTAGGCATAAGGACTTAAAACCAAAATTCTCATATTTTCTACATAAAGGGGACTGTTTTGGTTTGTTGGGTTTTCTGGTAGTGGGGAAGGGTGCCAGAAGAAGCTCCCCCTGCTCCAAACCCAGGGACAAGAGATGCTTCTCAGCAATTTAACATGCAAAAGAATTGATATAACAGCTGAGCAGAGAAGGACTTGGGGGGAGAAGAGCTGTGCTCATGTTTGGTGAGGAAGAAGGGGAAGAAGGTGCCCAAGCAGAAGTTTCCCTGCAGCCCATGGCATGATGGCAGGCTGTTCCCCTGCAATCATAGAGAAAGGTGATGGAACATTCCCTGAAGATGCCAGGAGGGGTGAACTTGGCCAGTGGCCTTTCATTTTGTGGCCATTGGATTTGCTGCCAGTGGACTCTGATTACGCATCTTTGGAAGACCCCAGGGCCAGGGGAGGTGGCTGTTCCCAAAGCAGCCCCTGACTCTGTGAGAAGCCCATGCTGGAGCAGCTCTGGACCCCATGGGAAGGACTCATGAAGGAGACGTTCATGAAGGACTCTCTCCCATGGGAGGGACCCCACGGAAAAGCAGGGAAGGACTGTAAGGAATCCTTCTTCCTGAGGAGGAGGGAGCAGCAGAAACCACCAGCCTGTGAACTGACTCTAAACCCCATCCCCTGTCTACCTATGCCACTGGGGGGAGGAGGGAGAGAAAGCGGGAACAAAGTGATTTGGGCCTGGGAAGAAGGGAAGGGTGAGGGTAACATATGCAAGCCCTGTCTGTGTCCTGTGTGTGTTTGATTAGTGTGAAATTAAATTATTGTTTTTCCCCAAATTGAGTCTGTTTTGCCCAGGACCTTAATCAGTGAAGAACCCTCCTTGTCCTTTGTCTCAACCCATGAGCTTTGTCCTCCTCATCCCAGAGTGTGTGTGGAGGGTGGAGCTGAGTGAGCAGCCATGGAGCTGTTCCTTTGTTGTGTTGGGCCCAAACCACAACAGGGAGCTAATTATTTTCTAATTCATTTTCTCTTCTCTGAACCATGTTAATAAAGCTATAGAAAAAAAAACAAGCACTCAAAAGCATCCCATATGTCTCTTTACCTAACCATAACTTTTGCTTGACGTTTTGTCAATGCTCCTTTTATTCTCAAAGCCTATGCCCAAGAATCACAAGTATAAACTTTAGCCTATTATAAAAACACAGTAATATCATCCCAATGCAAGAATAATCCAAAGATGTTATAATACAATGCATTTTTATACACTGTTAACATTGTGCATTAATTTGAACAGGCCAATTTCCCTGAGAATGGGAGCAAACCCTGCTCAGCACCATATTACTTATTTATTATGCCCAAAAGGCTACCAATTTAAATGATCTAATACTTGAAATTGCAAAGGCTGAATCAAGCCACTGTAAAAAGCAGACAAGATGTAATCAGTTCATTAGCCAGTTAGCTGTGTTCAGTTACACCTGCACTCACACTATTTCATTCTTATTCAAAAGATAGCTTAAACCTGAAGAAACAAGTAAAAAAATGTTTTTCCCTTGTCTTCACCATTTTAATAACTACACATTTTTATTTTCCTTTCTGCTCCTTGTTCTTTAGTTTTCAGCTTCAAGGCAAGTTTCATATGTTCTCAACTTCAGGAGTGACATTTATTTCCAGGCATTTATTGTGTTTTTGCAACAATCCTAATTTCTATTAGAGCCTGAGGCAACAGTTTTCACAACACCCAAACTTCAACAGCACCAGCTTAGGAAGTTCATGCTGCTTGCTCATCCCAGAGCCTATACCTGAGCCTACTGCTCTGCTACTTGTGCCAGCTCTTTTTACGGGGCTCACTATGAACCAGTTCTTCAGTACTTCAGAGGAGGGGTGGAATGACTCGTAAACACGGATACATTCATGATAAGTATGTTTCACAACATCCCAATACAAACAGCTGTGTTCTACAGCACAGCTGCAGAAGCAGCATATTATATAGAGAAGGAATGAGACTCCTTAAACCAGCAGTACTATTTTCAAATGCTCTGTACTGTGTAAGTATTAGTGGAGTCAGCACAGCTTCCTGATGATCAAACTATGCTCAAAATTAATTTACATATATATAATTTCAAGAGTTTCAACTCAATTATGTTATACTTAAAAACTTCTGAGTAAAGATTCCCACTGTACTTTTCCTGCAGGCTCCTATTGTTGCAATGATTTTGGCAGAACAGGAATTAGAAGTGAGAAGGGTGGGGGAGGAAGTTTCTTATGCAGTGCCAAGTTATGATTCAGTTTTGAACTCCTCCACACTTCCAACTGATTTTGAGTAAGTGAGAGACAAGCATGCCCACCAATACACTTATTTCTACCTTGTCAGTATCATTGCTATTGACTACTCTAATGGCAGTAATGATTGCTTTCTCAAAGCTACACCAGAGCTGTAAAATTATCTATAGAAAAAACCCCAACTTCTTAATTCTGAAAAACCAATGTGTATAGCAATACCATGACCAAGTCAGTATTAAGTGTAACAAGAACACTGCTCCTACACTGTGCTGATCTGAAAAAGAGAAGGTTCCCCACGTCACTCCCTCACAGGAACATACACAAGGGAGACAGTGAGCTAGCAGTGTAATGTACCAACCTACATATAAGAATATCATCTTAAAAGAGAGATAAATCCAAGGAAAAAAAAAAACAACTTAAGAGCAATTCACATACACTTGTAAAAAATCACAGACAAGTATTTTTTTATAATAATAATTTAAAGCATTCTGCAATTCAATTGCAGAAAAAACCCAAAACCACTAGTTTTTAAGGATACAACAATTTTTAAATACCTATGATCTGATTAGAAAAGACAGTCTAACAGCTCATCATCACTAATGGTGGTCTTTTTAAGTGATCATTACTGCCACCATGCTCTCCATAGACAACATGAATTTCCATCTTTCTACACTTTCACAAAAAAACTAAAAACCTTCATAGCTATGTCAAGTTGGTTGATATTGGCTTTTGGGAGAACTGGCAGGGAGTGCAAGTATGTACACCTTGTTTCCATAGACCAGGAAGATTATCAGTGCTACCAGGCAAAATCTGATTGACCTGAAATATCTTGGGGGATATTAAAAAAATCTTAAGCAAATACTCCTGTATTGCCTTTTTTTCCCCCCCCTTTTTTTTCTGTAGTACTACAGAGGGGCAAACTAAGTGTAAGTTAAAAGTCACTAACACATTTTGCATGATATTCATGCTTCACAATGCTTACCACAGATTGGAGAAAGAATTTAAGGTATGTAGAAGTGATGCCACTGAAAAGAGCTGACACTGTAAGCACTGGGTAAGCAATTTTACTTAGTCATTCAAGATGCCTTATATGTTACTTGTAGTGTATACAGCCCACAACTCCCAAAAAAAACCAGAAAGCCCATGCTCTTGCAGTTATGTGGAACCACTTGGGGACTTGCAGGCCAACAAAGAAAAGGTCAGGTCTAAAGCACACAAGAGCTATGAAGAAAAAAATGTACAAGTACGTAGAGTTAGAGCAGCGTCCTTATTTCCTTTTGTTGCTCCCCCCTTCATCTTCTTTACACTGGGCTACTATAGTACCATTGCACTCAAAGCAACAATCTATCTATACTGCAGAGATTAACTGCAAAACTGTAACAAAGGGGAATTAAAAGGTAAAATGGCTTGAAAACAAAATTTTCTAAGACAAACTTTTTGGTGGTGGACTGTGGTAGCAGAGGAGTAATATAGCTCCAATACCTCTTGCGTCAAGACTCATCAAAATGGAGGTAATTTATCTGATAATTTCCCATTGTGTCTCTGCAACAATAGGGTTGTTTTGTTGGCTTTGAAATCATGTTTAGTGGATCGTTTGGGATCTTTGGTGTTTGGGGTTTTTTTGTTTGTGTTTTTTTAATATGGTAACCGCCATTGGATGGATTCCAATGTCAGTGCTTCTAAACAACCTTCATGAACTCTGATGTTTTCAGATTCTTACATGTTCTTCTCTGTCACAAATCTAGTTTTGCTTGAGCCAAAAAAAGATGTGGAAACTAGCATCCTCCAACCTTAGAAAGATCTTCTGAATTACATAAGTGGGAAATATTCTTGAATACAAAATATTTATAGCAATCTTTCCGGGGTAGGCTCTTCCACTGTTTTGGAAGATGCACAAGAAGATCTCCCAAATTTCTTGAATAACTCCAAACCAAAGCCAAATCTTTCCTAGATTAATTCCAGGTCTACAGGCTTATTTGCAAAGCAACAAGAAGCCTCTGATCAAAAAGCAAACAGGCAGAAAATCTGAGTGCTATATGAGTTTGTCAATTTTCATTGTCAGATTCTGCTGCTCAGTTTTCATATGAGTGGAAGGATTCTGTCAAATATATGTAGCTTGGGAAATGTCATTAAAATGTCATTTTAAAGAACATAAACTATTAACATAGAATAATCCTAAGATTATAAACTAATATCCTTTATGCTAGAGAACATGGCTTGGACAGACAGCTCAACAAAGGGTCAATGACACTGCAACAGTGCTTAAGCGCACTATTCTGTATTTAAGCTATGACCCTCTCAGACCAATGCCTGTCTCTACTTTCCTGGTGGTTCTGTATCTATATGGATCTTCTATCTATGAGTCTTAGAGAAGACTAGACTAAAATAGGGTGAACAAGGTCCACTTACTAAAAAACGGGAAGACATCAAACTTCAGGAACAAAAGGTAGTGAGAGAAACAGAACATTTATTCAAACAAAAATATCCAAAAAATTATTGCAATTTATATCATGGCTGTGCAGTTACACAAACATAACCATGTATTTTCACATGCAATCCATTCATGGAACAGAAGTAACCTCATTTGCCATGGCTACAGTGCCACCCAACATTTTAGTGGAAATAACCTGTTCCCTCAACAGCTGTAAACAAACTATCCACAGCTCTGTGAGGAGTTAAGTATCATCACTGTAAGGAAGGGCTAAAAACCTAAAGCCTGGTTCAACTATTAAGTAAAAGTCTGCTAAACTGAAGCAAAACAGTTCATTAAGTTACCAGAGACTGTTAACAGATAGTAATTCAGAAGAGTATCTTCCTTGTGATCTCTCACCTTCACTGGATAGCAAGTCATATAATCCAAATTTAATCTAATAAATTAATTTGAGCTATTTTTAGCAGAAATACGCCACATTCTCATGGGATTTTGCTTAGACATAACTACTAATTTACTGGGGTTTATGCTACCTTGGCTATTCCTAACAAATAACAATTTTCAGTGACAGAAAATGTGCAGTAACTACAGTAAAACACCGAAATATTGTGAACATTTACACAGGCAGAAGAATATAAATATTAAAAATGCATGCATATGATAATACTTTTTTATCATTCTTTCAAAATTTTAAGGTTGTATTGACAAACTAGGAACTTCAGGTTTTGTGAAGAAACATCAAAATGCAATTGTTTTCCTGAGAATTGCTAAAATACAGCAATTTAAAGTGGTTTCTGCTATAGCTCTTTGTCTCATATGTGTTTGAGTGGATTTCCTCAGATTTCTGAGCTCCTTTAAATATCTTCCAACATAATTTCAACTGCAGGACAAGGACATAAAATAAACAAATGGAAAAATAAAATTTAACAGCACAGAGTACAGAAGAATTCCTCTCAAATGAGAATAGAGAAAAAAGAGCAAGCTCTGTAGAACCCAATATACTCCATTAAAAAGAACTGTTTATATCCCGTACAGTTATCTCATTACTTCATAAGGGTGGTGTTTTCCTAAGCCTGTGGATTGGCAGTATCTGTATCTGTGTAACAATAGTGAAAAAGAAAGCTTCTGTTTCTTCTGTTTCACCAAGTTTGATAAAAACCATTTTTTGCACATCTTTATCACAGTTAAATGCAGAGATAGGCATAAAACCCTGAGAAGAGACAGAGTAGTGTCAATGTTACTAAAATCCAGATAGGAGGACTTAAATGATTATTGAAGCAAATTCCTTTCTGTGGCCAGATGAAAGTTAAACTTTTTAAAACCCATCACTGATGTAAAATTAAAGCAAAAACAAAAGTGCATAAGAGATCATAAACTGTTTTTAAAAATACTGCTGCAGCTTTAAGTGGTGAGGGTACAAAATTACCTAACAGTTATCCTGGCA